ATTGGCTCAGAAATATTGTCAATCATGTCGATTGGCTCAGAAATTTCGCTTGGTTCTACCTTGTGTTCTAGTATGTCGTTCGAAATTCTATGAGCAGCATGCTGCAAACCTAACTCGATCGCGTACCACAAGTACGCGCCCAGTCTCGTGCGTCGCCTTCCCTTAGGATTTTTGTTAAGGTGCATGAGACTTTCCCTAATTCTCTTATATTTTAAACAGACATTTTCTACCGTTATTGTCGTGTTTGTTGTGACAGTTAACTCGTCAGCTAATAACTTCCCATCTTTTTGCCAATTTACATATTTGTTGTTTAGACCCCAAAACTGCGGATACTTTCTTAAAGCCTGACTAAATAGGACATCAGAGATCAACATTTTTTATAAATATAAAATTTAAGTATAATAATAATAATAAGAAGGATCCTGCAAAGAAGAAAAAAAAATAACATTTTATAAATTCTTGCTATTCTATTATTATTATTATTTAGATTATATGCAATTTTTGGATATTTCTAGAAACGTGAAACGCAAAATATATTTTTAGGACAACAAGTCCACATATGTTCTTAATTCGACAAAAACGGATGACATACGGGCAATGCGGCGAAACATTCATAAAATTTGGTGAAAGCGTGGTTCAGCGAGGATAACTTGGATGTCGCTGAATGGCTATTGAATGCCTGTTGTACATCCACCTATTCCTCTGTCCACCCAGAAACAAGCGATATTTTTGAAACGAACTTTTTTTTATGTTTTGTTGATACTTAGCATAAGTCTGAAGCCACGGAAATGTTCCTACTTTATAAACTAATGATCAACATAATATATAACAAAGGAAAATGGAACAAAATACCCCGGTCGTGTTAAAAAACCTTAGAACCCCTTACTTAATATTACGGCGTCCCGGAGTTTACAGATGAACATATTTTGCTACGTCTTCATCGGTGTTGAATTATATATTCGTCTGCGAATCAAAGCAACACAATTTTGATAACAAATAATTTCCCGCATCAAACTACTTCTAAATATGTTAAGAAAATGGAAAATACTGCTCATACATGAAAGGATACTTTTTTAAGAGAAGTATTATCCAAAAGCTACATATGAAAGTGAAGTCCATTTCATCTCTTAAATACAAAATATATATATATGTAGGCTTTATTTCGGACATTTTTCAACGAACTTTTCCATTAATTTTATAAATGGACTTACCGTTTGTTTTTTAATTTTTCACTTTGCAAGTTAAATTTGTAGACAATTTTTGAATACTTCTTGTTGGATTTCACAATTCGTTTTCACAATTTGTAGACAATTTTTGAATACTTCTTGTTGGATTTCA